GGGCCTCTAGTCAGCCAGCACGAAAATCAGAAAAATTCATTCCACAAACTTGAGCAACCAAAGCAGTCTCTGTGACGTTTATTAAAAACTCCACAGGCACAAAATGGAAGAGTTACTAAAGGCACATTAGCAGCACTGAATTAAATCTCTCATTTGTTGCGCATCTCTGCGCAGTGCAGTGGATTTAACCCATCATACAGGGCCGGTCCAAGGCTGTATGAGGCCTCAAATTCAAAGATTAAACTCAGATTGTTGCTGTGGTACAAAACAATCCAACTATGAATATTGTTCTTTGAACTTTTACAAAGAAAACTTTCCAAATCCTTAAAATCTTACATTTAAATGTTAAACTATTTAAAATATCTTAATTTATGTATGCTGAAACCATTAGATCAAATTTAGCAGCATTGATCATCTCAATAAACAAATGTTACATTTATGCATCTGTGGTTTGTGTTAAAATGTTAGCATTTTATGGGGCCCTTTAATCCCCATAAGGGGGGCCTTATGGAGCCACTGATTTATTCTGAATTAAACAGAAGTGCAAATAATTGATATTGATATTCATTTTGACTGTATTTTTTGATTTGATGTTTTTAAGACTAGTGGTGGATTCTAAACAGCATTTCACTGGCAATGTTTTCCAGTAACATATAATTGCCCAGTAATATTTTTACATGTCCTGTCTACTTAACATCTTTTAATACAAACACGGTGGACCGCCTCGGCGCCTCAATCACTGGGCTTAGCAAGTTTTCTGGGGGAAACCCTGAATATGTTTTCGTCACATTAAAGCAGTGCACCCACTTGTCATTGCCCTAAGTGCTAAAGTTTACCTGTGAACAAGGTGAATACTTGTCAACCCATGGTTCATCTGGACCGCTTTCATTTGATTTCGTCATCCAAAGAGAACCATTTCGGTCTTCTTTCCATTTTCTAGATCTCCTCTCTTCAGATTGAAAGCCCCAAATTTGTTTGTCCTCGCTCTTGGCAGATGTATCAGAGAAGGATGGATCCACCCAGCTATTTACCTAATATTCAAGAAGAAGAATTTAAAGAGTGGTAATTAAGACCTTATGTGCATACCCAAATTTGCACCCTCACACTAACAGAACGTATTTAATTTTATCAGCAATATTAATAAAATACACACTTGAATTTTGTACCCAAAGTATATGTTCCAATATCCTTTGGGTACAAAAACATATTGTAATGCATACAAATACTTATTTTATACTAATATATAACACTTATACCTGTAATATTTCTAAGACATTACAATGGGCAAGTTTTACAATAAAACCAAAATAATATTTCCACTGTAATGTTTACACATTTCTGGCAGTTGGTGAAAATTTAATTTAGAGATTTTAAAAACATAAAATTTCAGTTTAACTCCATCATAATATCAAGTTCTTTCTCAAACATTTGACAGTTTCACCATTTTATGTTTTATAACAACAAATACATATACACATTTATCATACTCCTTTTAACCCTTTACCAGGACTGATAACAGTGACGCATATGAACAAAAAACAAAATCTGGTCATTTTAGCTTTTCATTGAAGTTTAATTTTTCTGATTATTTGAGTGACCTGTCCAGGGTGACCCTGTTCTCGCCCCGAACGTTAGCTGGAGATAGGCACCAGCACCTCTCCCGACCCCACTAAGGGACAAGGGTGTAAAAAAGATTAACATGCAAACATCAAAGAAAGACCCAAGGCCTGGATTCCAACCCATGACCTTCTTCCTGCAATGAAAAGGGTTATTGACTGTGCCACTGTGAAGCCCCATCATCACCAATTATTATTCACTATTTATGTGAACTGCAGCTAGTGTGTGCCATAGTGTGCACATCTACAGGTTACCTGGAAATGCCATGTCTGACTTAGACATACTTTGTCTTTTGGACCATTTCGACATTTTGAAATCACATTAACCAAAATGTGTGATGAGTTCAAGAAAGGAAGGAGTTTAGCAGATCATACTGAAATGTCTAACTTATTCAGTTACTAGTCTAAAATTTTCTGGAGCTGACACTTTTAGGTTTCTATACCTAAAAAACAAACAAACCCTAAACGGCTTTTTTAGGTCAAAAAAAAAAAAAAAAACTCATACAAAACCCCCCACTAAACTGGGAATTTCCACTGTAAAAGCACATTCATGACAGACAGAATAGCCTATGATTATGAGCAAAGAGCCACCCGTGATTTTGCTGCCACTAATGCTTAAGGACTGCTTCAAATTTTATGAAAAATAATTACATTTTCTTTCTATGAAAGATATCAAAACTCGGACAAAATAGAATCGGGTTTTGGGATCAGATTTGGCCATTAGTCTCAATGTAAATTATACATTTACACTGAGACACAACCATTTTAAAAACAATTTAATTGTTTAAAATTAAACCATTTAAACCGTTCAAGAATGGTGATGGGGTGTATCTACGAATTCATAGTCGAATATATTAATAATAAAGTTAATCATTCTAGTGTTTTAGAATGCAAAATCTACAATAAATAATAAGCAGATAATAAGTATGGTTCGAAACTAGGCTAACCTGTGTTTAAACGCAGCAAACACAAACAGATGGTATGTGTGCCATCTTATTGAAACACTTACTCGTCCTGAGTTGGCTTTATCTTCCAAGGAAAACTTTTTCATCTTTGGTCGTAGCTTTGAGTACAGAGGAAATTACTGATAGAGAACTGTTCCAGATACTCTTTCAGCAGCAAATGAGTCTTCAAAAAACGCCGCAACTCCAGTAAGGTTGAAATTAAATATGCCGTAGCACTTCTGGGAGACATAGCATGCTGCTTTAGATCTTCTAAAACCAAAGCCTTCTTCCTCTTTTTCTATTTCATGGCGTAAGTAAGCTGTACGGTCCATTGTCGCCACCTACAGGACTGGAATGGAGATAGATTAACAAAAAATGTTTGCATTCTTTCTGCTAAATTTGTGACCTTCAAAAAAGACATACCGTTTTTTTTTCTATTTTATTTTTAAGATTTAGGTGGATCAAGCTTCTTCATGATCTATGTTTTCTTCTTTGTATGTTCAGCAGTCCATGAAGTCAATTTTGTAGACTGCAACAATCATCCTATTTTATATTTGTCCTTTTAGTTGAACAGTCTATGTTCAACCCCATAAATGGACATCCCTGCAAACAGCCTCTTTGTAGGAACATTAGTTTGGTTAACTATGGATGCAAAGAGCTTGTAATCTAAATTTAGTGTTGCTATGTGGTGTTATGAACTGGATTCCATTTAGTCTTTATTTGTCTGTGGAATTAATTAGATTACTGCCTTTCTCTACAATACCTTCAATCTTCACCTTCAAGTGTGTTGAAGAAGCAAAGAACATTGGAAAAAAAAATAGTAGCGCCAGCAGTTATGTTTTATAATATTCTGCTAGAAAAAACTCCCTACATGACCGACATCCTTTTATTTGTACAGAAGATTGCCTTATTTAATTGCATCGGATCCAAGTACAATTACACTTAAGTGTGCAGTTAGCATTTCTATAAGTTGGCATCATTTTCCTTCTGAGGTCTTATTTTTTTCTAGCCTATTTCCACATTAATCTTAAAATAAACTTGATGTTCTACAAATAAATAATGGGAAAATTGTGGATCTTTACTGAGAGTTTCCAAACTATGTTGCTGCCCGCTTCACCGCCATACTCAGAAGTCTGGGAACAATTCTTAGACATGTTGTGTGTATTGAGCATTGGAAATTAGTACAACTGTATTATGATCCTATATTTTAAAAGCTTATCTGAAAACAGTGTATAAAAATGTTAGGACAAGATGTCCAGGATATGGCATGATTATGAGACCATACCCTGGACAGGTCACCAGTCCATCACAGGGCAACACAGACAAACAATCAAGCACACACACACACGCACGCACACCTAAGGAGAATTTAGAGAGAAACCAATAACCTGACAGTCATGTTTTTCGTCTGTGGGAGGAAGCCGGAGAATCTGGAGAGTACATATCAGTTATTTGCCCTCATATGCATTATTAATATATTTAAATTTTTGACATTTGTCTCAGTTAGATATTCTTAGCTTAGCTTTATTAATTCTCATGATAAAGTTTGTGTGAATGTGATGGCTCTCATCATTACTTGTTGCAAATTAATAAAGTGAATTGAATTCTACAGATTCAACAGAATTAAAATTTTTAAGATGGTGCAAGAGGCAATGACAGGCTAGATTGGGACAAACCAGAAAAACAAAGTGATCTGGTATAGTCAGATCAGAGTTGCTGCACAGAGATCAGAAAAACTCGACCCAAAAAGTTCAAGCAATCAAAACAGTTTCTGTGGCACTTATTAAAAACTCAACAGAAACAAAATGGAAGAGCTACTAAAGCCACATAAATTAAATCTCCTGTTTATCCCTCTGTGTCCTGCATAGATGCAGTACAGGTGCTGGTCATAAAATTAGAATATTGTGATAAAGTTCATTATTTTCCATAATGTCATGATAAAAATTAAATTGT